TTTCATTTCTGACATTAATAATTTGTGTCTTCTTCCTTTTTTTTCTTAGCCTGTCTAGAAGTTTATCAACTTTGTTGATCTTTTCAAAGAACCAGCTTTTGGTTTCATGATGTTCTCTATTGATTTTCTGTTTTTAACTTAATTGCATCTCTGATTTTTATTTCTTTTTCTCTGATTACTTTAAATTTAGTTTGTCCTCTTTTTCTTATTCCTAAAGTGAAATCTTAGAGGTTGATTTTATATCTTTCCTCTTTATTAATATGCACATTAAATCCTACAAATTTACCTCTAAGCATTTCTTTCGCTGTATCTCACAAATTTTGATAAGTTGTGTTTTCATTTTCTAAGTGCTCAAAATATTTAAAAATTCCTCTGAGATTTCTTAGGCCCATGTGTTATGTAGAAATGTGGTGCTTGATCTCTAAGTATTTGGGGATTTTAAGCAATCTTTCTGTTATTGATTTTTAGTTTAATTCCCTGTGATATGAGAGTAGACCATGTATGATTTTTCTTCTTTGAAGTTTCAGTTGTGTTTTATGGCCCAGAATGCGATCTATCTTGGTAGATACTCCATGTGAGTTTGAGAAGAGTGTGCATTCTGCTATTGTTGGAAGAAGTCATCTGCAGATGTGCAGATGTTCATTGAATACAGTTGGTTGATGGTGTTATTGAGTTCAATTTTACTGATTTTCTGCCTGCTGGATCTGTCAGTTTCTGGGGAGGGTGTTGAAGTCTTCAACTATGATAGTGAATTCATCTAGTTCTCCTTTAAATTCCATCTGCTTCATGTATTTTGATGCTCTGTTTATTAGGTACATACCTATTCTGGCTTGCTATATCTTCTTGGAGAACAGACACCTTATTCATACGCAATACCATTCTTTATCCCTGATACTTTCCTTGCTCTGAAGTTTACATGATCTAAAATTAACACAACTACTCCTGCTTTCTTTTAATTAGTGTTAGTATGGTATAACTTTCTCCACACAATTACTTTGGATCTATATGTGTCTATATCTAAACTGGGTTTCTTAGAAAGAACATATAAGTGAGTATTTCAATTTCTGACAGTCTCTGTCTTTTTTTTTTTTTAAGTGGGAGTCTCACTCTGTCACCCAGGCTGGAGTGCACACTGGTATGCTCATGGCTACCTCAGCGTCGACTTGCTGGGCTCAGGTGATCCTTACGCCTCAGCCTTTCAAGTACCTGGAACTACAGGCGCGTACTACCATGTCTGGCTAATTTTTTTATTTATTGTAGAGATGAGGTCTCGTCAAGTTGCCCAGGTTGTTCTCAAACCCATGGGCTCAGGCAATCCCCTTTCCTTCGCCTCCCAAAGTACTGGGATTACAGGCTTGAGCCTCCATGCCCGGCCAATCTCTCTTTTAATTGTGCATTTAAACCATTAATGCTTAAAGTGATTATGAATACAGGTGCAGTAATAGCTACCATATTTGTTACTAGTTTCTATTTGCTGCTTTTGTTTTTGGTTCCAATGTTTTTCTCCTCTCTTCTGCCTTTTATGGTTTTAGTTGGGCATTTAGGATTCAATTTTCTCTCCTTTCTTAGCATGTCAGTTATACTTCATATTTTAGTGGTTGCTCTAAAGTTTGTTTAGCTCAAGCATGAAATAGGACTTATTGGCTGAGACCACTTAGTCTAGGGATCAGTCAGGCTGATCAAGGTGCTCGGCTGTGTCTGTCTTGTTCCTGGGATCCTCCTTCATGGTGGCAAGGTGTCTCCAGACCCTGCGGTTTGGTGACCTCAGTAGCAAGAGACCCTCTCCTTCCCAGTAGGACTAGCAAAGCCTATATCCTGGCTGATATTCGCTGTCTTTGATGATCCAGTCAGGTGCTCGTCGTGGGGTTAGCCACAGCGATCATAGCAATGCTGGCTTACGCCAGGTATCCTCTCCTGGAGTAGAAGTGAGACCAAGATTTCAGCACCTACATGGGTTAAAAGTGGGGAAGGAGATTCCTCAGAAGGTGTGATGAATATTGGGCCGACAAATTCAGCAGATGGGGCAAACTTTCAGGTCCCCTCCTGCTGTGGGAACTTTTCTGTCCTCTTAGTAAATCCCGCTTTAAAAAAATCAGCAACTATCTCCTTCAGGATGCTTTTTATACACGATCTCAGGTAAACTTCTCAACAACACAATGCTATAGCCGTTACTGACCACAGCTTGCAGATAAAGCCTCTGAAGTCCATGCTTTCTTCCCTTCTGGACTGTACCTCTGCATTTTCTCTAGAGCGCCTGCTCAGATCACTCAGAGTGGCCTAACCAGTGGTTCTCTACCTTTGTGCCTATTAGAATTGCCCAGGATGCTTTAAAAAAACCCAGTGCTCAGAACATAGCCCTGACCTATGGAGTAGAAACCATGGGAGTGGGACCAGGCATCGGTATGTCTTGATAGCGCTCCAACATGCAGTCAAGACTGAGAGTCAACAGCCCAGGGCTTGCTCTTTCTTCAGAAAGGAGTCATGAGAAGGAGCAGAGTCAACTTCTGCTTTCTCAGCAACAACGAGGTGCACATGCAGACCCCCAGAAGACCAAAGCGATAGACAAGCAGGCTTCAGCACAGGGGAAAACAGGCCCAGAGAATGTGGGTAGCAATGTGGCCTGTTTGGGGCTTCATGATAGGAGGCCAATGATGGGAGCTGTGGTCCAATGTCATTTATCTCTGAGTGGCTATCACAGGCCTTGTGAAGTTTAGGCAAATGGAAGCATTAGAAGCACGAGCAAGACAGTCTTCTCTCCAGGGATGTTCATTTGTAAAAATCTGGTGTGTAGGAGACTTATGAATGAGATGGCTGAAAGGCAATTAACTATACTTGAGAAATAAATATTTTCTGAGGCCTGGCCGATGACAGCGGGGCCTTCTGACTGCATCAGTGTGGAGTCACTTTAAGACCCGATGTCGCCGGGCTTGGTGGCTCAGCCTGTCCTCCCGCACTTTGGGAGGCCGAGGTGAGTGGATGGCCTGAGCCCACGGGTTCGAGACCCACCTGGGCAACTTGGCGAGACCTCATCTCTACAATAAATCAAAAAATTAGCCGGGCGTGGTAGTGCGCGCAGGTAGTTCCAGCTACTTGGAAGGCTGAGGTGGAGGGATTGCCGGAGCCCAGCAGGTTGAGGCTGCAGTGGCCAGGGGCGACCACGGCACTCCAGTCTGGGTGACAGAGTGAGACTCCAACTCAAAAAAAAAAGACCCGATGTTGTGTGTTGTGGAGCAGACTGTCCCACAGAAGCCAAAGTTTACCGTGCAGACAGAGTGGCAGCTGTCTTCACAGGAGCTTGTGACCAAAGGCAGGTATTCAAAAGAAGGCATGTGATTCTCATTAGTCCATTATCACCCTCCTATTTTGTTCCCTGACAATGGCACTTAGATGCCCATCCACCGACAATACATTTTTTAAATGTGGCATATCCATAAACAGAATATTATTCAGCTATAAAAAGGAGTTAAGTACTGACACATCTTGCAACATGGCTGAAACCTTGGAGACATATGAAATGAAAAAAGCCAACACAAAAGGCCACAGGTTACATGATTCCGTTTATAGAAAATGTCCAGAACAGGCAAATCTGCAGAGGTAGAAGGCAGGGTGGTGTTTGCCTGGACCGGTGGGGCGCAGGGAGGGATGGAAGTGACTGCCATGGGCTTGGGCTTCCTTTTGGGGGCATGAAAATGCTCAGTTTCCTCTTAAGCAAAATAAGGGTTGAGGCTCCACAATTTATAAGGTCTTTTCCAAATCCAGCTTCTATTATTCTATTGATCTTCCTGTGTGAACCCCAGTTTCAGAAGAGCAGCTGCAGAAACCCACTCCAGAATGAACGTCAGCCCTTATGTCTTGGAATCTCTTTTAAGGCAGATCTACTTTTGAGTATTGGCCATTTTGATCTATTTCTCTTTTTATTTTTTTTATTTATTTATTTATTTATTTATTTATTTATTTTGAGTTGGAGTCTCACTCTGTCGCCCAGGCTGGAGTGCAGTGGCCGCTCCCGGCTACCGCAGCCTCGACCTGCTGGGCTCCAGCGATCCTTCTGCCTCAGTCTCCCAAGTAACTGGAACTACAGGCACACGCTACCCTGCCTGGCTAATTTTTTTGACTTATTGTAGAGATGAGGTCTCTCCAAGTTGCCCAGGCGGGTCTTGGACCCGCAGACTCAGGCAATTCACTCACCCTGGCCTCCCAAAGCGCGGGTTTACAGGCTGAACCACCGAGCCAGGCCTATTTCTCTTTTTATAAAGAAAACTCTGACTTGGTGGGATTTCTGAGGTTTCCGTTTCCCGTGAAGACTCCTGATCGGTTGTGAACTGTTTGGAAGCGTGGAGCTTGGAGTCATTTGTAGAACTCACAATAACCGAAAGTCAGAGCGCAGCTTCTCCAAGGGTTCAGTGAAGGAAGAGACATAAGCTGCTGGCCTTTGAGCACGTTGGAACACACACCATGGTCTTTGTCATAACAGCAGAGGAAGGGAAGAGCTGTCCACACTGTGTGAGGAGGTGTTATTTGTAAATCTGCAACACTGTGGTTAAGAACTTGGGGGATGCAATTACCTTGCCTGGGTTAGCATCCTGGGTTCACCTCCCGCCTGGTCGCCTTGTGCCTCAGTTTCCTTATCTGTCACATAGGTCTAGTCATGGTGCCTTTTTCTTTCTTTTTTTAATTGTTTTTTTTTTAATTAAAAGATGTGGGGTACAATACAAGGTTAGGTATAAAAAATGGTGCCTTTTTCTAAGACTGCTTAGAGGATAAGTTAGATGACACCTGGAAAGTGCTGAGAAGGGTGCCGGGGCCATAGTCAGGGCTCAGCAAATACTCACTTTCACTATTTTCAACAGATTCTACAAATGCTTGATGAATGTTTTAAAAACACTCGAAACGGCCTAATAGGCATGCATGTACAGTGTGCTGTACACGAACACAGCTATCTCTATGTTGTAAATTGTTCCTATGTTACAGAATAAAAGTAAGAACTCTTCGCTGGCAGCATGGAGCTCCTGCTGAGTGCCCTGGCCCTCATGCTCTGGACAGGAACATCGGCAGATCAGAGCCCAGGTACCCGTGTATTTCGCGTTTATTATTATCTAGGAAGGGAACTTTTTGTATGTTGCAGTAAACCTTCTGTTAATAAATGGAGAGAAATAAAGAATTTATCTATTCCCCGAGATCAAAGTGCACAACATATAGCAGCAGCTGTAGACATGCCACACCATGAACACTCGGCCTCTCAGAGATGGCCAAAGCTACGGTGGAAGTCATGAGGTGTGCTACACCTGGCCAGAACACTGTAACTGTTCATTGATTTGCTTCCGTTTCCATGGCCCGTGTCTCTATGAAGTCAGTCTATTTATTGACAGGCCGGTTTGAAGCTTGGTCTCAACAAGCGGAAGAAAAGGAACCCCACAGAGAAAATAAATTCTGAGGATTTCTGTGACTCAACCGTTGCCTGCCATTTCTCTTACAAGCATCACACACCCACCCACACACGCACACAGTCATGTGTCACTGAGTGGCAGGGAGGCTTCCCGAGAAACACATCTTCAGGCGATTTTGCCACTGAGTGAGTGTCATGGAATGTCCTTGACAGTACAGCCGACCACACACTGAGGCTGTGCGGTGTGGCCTGTCGCTGCCGGGCTGCATGCCTGTGCACACATGACAGTACTGCGTACCGTAGGCCACTGCAACACAGGGGTCAGGATTTATGCATCTAAAAGTACCTAAATACAGAAAGGGTGATGTGTGCACGGCCATGTCACGACAGTGCCTTGTTGCCAGGAGACGGGAATTTTTCAGCTCCGTTCTCATCATATGGGACGACCACTGTCTATGCCGTCTGCCACTGATGGACACGTTATGCAGCACATGACTGTGAGCGTGTGTGCACGCATGTGGGTTTTATACCCTCTTGCAATTACTAGACACGTAGTTTGAGTGAGTGAGTACTCTGCAACCCTGCGATTTCCTGATAGATTTCTGAGTTCCCTTGGAAGAAAGAGCCAGTGGCTACACATTTCCCAGAACATCACTGATTTCAGTGGCCAGTGGAGGGACTGACCGTGACGGATGACATGGCCATGGCTGGCGCCAGACTTACCCTGTGGGTGGGCACACCTGCTCTCCAGGTGATGCCCTGACCCTCTGCTCCCTCCCTCCAACCCCTGGGGACGCTGTGAAGCCGATGACTGACCAATGGGGCACAGAGGAGGGGCCTCCTGCTTGGACCAGGGACTCCCTGCAGGCCAGAGCTGGGCCCTATGCGGTACTCCCCCCGCCCCCTGCCCCCCTTCGCGCTCCGCCTCCCCCATCCTGCGGCCCTCGGTCCAGCCTGGAATCCTGGTCTCAGACTCCGCTTCCAACTCTCCAACCCGAGAACTTTACTGTTTCCAGAACTTGTTGTTAGTCCCCAGACCTCGGTGGGGCCTCTGGGGCGGGATCATGTTATTTATTGTTTAGCGCAATATTGAGTTTGGGGTTCTAGAACTAAAAACAAGAGAAAGCCGGTTGTCTCGGGCACAGAGCTGAGGAGGAGCAGGCTGCTGGCTCACTCCCTGAAGTCTTTCTCCGGACAGCCTCCCCTGCGTGACCTCCAGAAGTCGCCTTCCATGGGATTCAGATCCCCCCTTGCCGCTGGGCCGTGGTCTCCACAGAGAGCTGGGGTCTAAACGTGAGAGCTGGACAGTAACCTTGTTTTTGTCTGTGGTCATTTCATTTCGACAGAGCCAGGCCCCGAGTACGCAGATGTGGTGTTCCTGATGGACAGCTCCGACCGCCTGGGCATCAAGGCCTTCCCGTTCGTGAAGACCTTCGTCAGCAAAATGGTCAACAGCCTCCCGGTCGAGGCCGACAAGTACCACGTGGGCCTGGCGCAGTACAGTGACCGGCTCCACCACGAGTTCCACCCCGGCACCTTCAAGGGCAGAGGCCCCATGCTCAGCCACGTCAAGAAGCACCTGGCCTTCGTGGGCGGGTCCCTGCGCGTGGGGAACGCCCTCCGGGAGGCCCACCGGACCTTCTTCTCCCCCGGGGACGGGAGGGACAAGAAGCTGTTCCCCCCACTCCTGGTGGTCCTGGCTTCGGCCGAGTCCGAGGACGACGTGGAGGAGGCCGCGAGGGCCCTGCGGGCGGACGGGGTGAGGATCATCTCCGTGGGGCTGCAGCAGACCTCCGAGGAGACCCTGAAGGCCATGGCCACGGCCCCATTCCACTTCCACCTCCGCACGGCCAGGGACCTCGGCGCCTTCTCCCAGAACATGACGCAGATCCTCAAGGACGCGGCCAAGCACCGGGAGGCAGCCGTCGACACCACTGCCCCAGGTGAGGACGCCCGGTCCTCCCTAAGCCCTAAAAAGAGAGAAAGCCAGTTGTCTCTGGCCCAGAGCTGAGGAGGAGCTCCCTCCATGGGAGAGGTGCCGCCCCCACGTGGCCCCTGTCTCCTGTGACACCCGGGTCTTCCGACGGGCCGCGCTGGAGTGGGAACCTCACACACTCTTGTCACTTCTGCCTCTGCTGTGCTGTGTCCTGACAGACCCCGGCCACCCCTTGGCTTTTGCCGGTGGTCTCCAGTCTCCACCAGCGCCTCGCCTGCCTCCCCTCCTCCTAGGCCTGCCTCCTGGGCCATTTCCTTTCCAGCATCTCAGTCCTGTGCACACCCCAGGCATCAGCACGCCCACCACTGTCCACTCCTGTGTCTATCCTCCCGACCCATACCCCCGCAGGGTGCTGGCAGCCTGTGAGGGCCCTGGCACCTGCGTGTCTCTCTGTATCTGTGTGCCTGGCACCTTGTCTAGCAAGGCGCGGGGTCCTGCTTCTCGGTGAGTGGATAAGCAAGGGTCTTCCAGGCAGAGATGAGCCGCAGCCTGCCGCCGTCCCCACAGCCCTGGGCAGCCTGAGGCACAAACGCGTCTGCAGCAATGTCTGTCGACGGCACGGCGACACTCGCGGGCGGACACGGTGACCTCGGCATGAGGTGTGGCAGTGCGCGCTCACACTTCGTGTTCCGCCAGGCAGGTGGGGGCGTCTTGGCGGTGCAGCAGTGGACTCCCCTCCTGCAGCCTGTTGCCCTTGGGTGGTGAAAGCCCCCCAGTGCTGATCAGGGTCCGCCCACACCGGCGGCTGGCCTGAGAGCCCGCCCAGCCACGCAGTCATTTCAAGCCTCTGCTTTTCACCCCTGAGACCTGCCCTTTCCACACTTCAGCATTTTTGATATGAGGATGCGCCTTTCAGTAGGTCTTTGTAAAAATGTCTGATGAGCTGCCGTGCCATAACAGGGTGTCTTCCAAGAGCCGATCTTTGAGAAATACGGAAACTTTCTGACCAGCTTGCGACGTGGACGGGCTCAGTTAGGGCTGCTCTGGGGAGCTGACGCAGGCCCTTGCGTGTGTCGTCGAGGCCTTGGCCTCCCACCTCCAGCGTGCATTCTCCCAGGTCTGCGCTCTGCAGACCCCGGAAGCGTCTCCTAGGATTCACACGCCGTCCTCCAGGCCCCGCTCGTCCAGTTGGCGTCCCCTGAGCGCAAGGCAATGCAGGACCCACACTCAACTCAGCTGCTGAGGCTGGTCCGGGGGAGGCGGAGTTCTGATTCCTGGGCCAGAAGCTCCTGTCATCCTGAAGCTGCCACCTGCAAGCGCCCAAACGGCCTTCCCTTCAGCCTGGGAAGCCCACGGGTTTCAGGGAGGCAGGAGAGCTTTTTTCTCTCTTTCCTTCTCGATTCCTTGAGCGAAAGGGGGACCACCTGTCCCCGCCCCACCGCTTCTCACTCGGAAAGGGCTTTATCTGCGTCTCAGGGGTGCTCTCCCTGGAGACCCTGGAGTGAGGACCGTTGGCTGGAGAGGTGGTCCCAGGAGGCATCTGCTGGGCATGCGGAAGGCAGTCGGGAACCGCATGCACAGGACTGAGGGCAGCAGAACAGGTGGAGGGAGGCCCGGCTGGAGGGTGGCGGGCGATCTGTGAGCTGCGTGGACAGGAGGACCCAGCGTCCCCTCTGGAGGGCGATAGGAGGACTCCCACCCCGGCATAACGGGGCTTTCCCAGCTGCCTCTGCCATCAGGTGGTGAGGGTGGGCCATTCTGAGCGGGTGTCTCTAGTTCTAAGACCAGGGAAGCCACGTGGTCTGGCACGAAGTGGCCTGAACTCAAGGTCCAAAGACCCGGACAAGCCCCTCGTTGCTGCGTGATCTTGGGGAAGTGCCGCCATCTCTCTGGGCCTCGCGCCGGCATTCCCGTTTGCGGGATGTGTGGGTTGGGAGGGTCTCGGAACAGCCTCCTTGCTCTGAGCTAAGGGCTGATGTCTTTAGTCAGACCAGGCTAGGTTTTGATAAAAATGGGCTTCCTGAATAATAAGAAGCTTATTTCTCACTTTATAGATAGGCTCATGCTTAGGGTGACCAGTTGTCTTCTATTTACATATCTGGGTGGGCTGTGGCTCTTCCATCTTTTTTTTTGAGTTGAAGTCTCACTCTGTTGCCCAGATTGGAGTGTAGTGGCTGTTCCTGGCCACCGGGGCCTCGATCTGCTAGGCTCTGTCGATCCTTCTGCCTCAGCCTTCTGAGTAGCCAGAATTACAGGCATGCGCTATCATACCCAGCTGATTTTTTGATTTATTATAGATGAGGTATGGCCAAGTTGCCCAGGCGGGTCTCGAACCCACGGGTTCAGGCAATCCACTCACCTCAACCTCCCAAAGCGTGAGGTTACAGGCTGAGCCACCGAGCCCAGTTGGCTCTTCCATCTTAAGTGACTTCTGGGGTGCCCTGGGAATTGGCATTCAGTTGGCAGGCTGGGGAATCGGTCCAGCTCCAGGACTATCAAAGAGGAACAGGGTTTGGGGAGCACCGGGAGGTCCTACAGCACCACACGGTCCCTTCCCTTTCACTTTCCCGACCCACAGTGCTCCGGCCTTGGGGAAATGCAGGCACCCGAGCACGTTCTTAGAAATGTGCTGCTTCTCCCCAAGGAGAACCATACTGCGACCCAACCCTCGGGACCTTGGAGGTCCCCAGCCCTGTGGGCAGCTGCCTAGCTCAAGAGCTTCAGGTCAGGGGGGCTTCACCACCTTCTCAGAGCTGATCACGCCTGTCTCATTCTTCCGAACTTACACCACCGCAGTTTAGTATAGCAGAGTGTGGCTTGACAAAAGCCTGCCCTGGCCTCTGAGAGGCAAGAGAAAAGGCTATGGAATCAGGGAGGTCTGAGTGCAAACCCTGGCTTGGCCACTTAGGACCCTGGGTAAGTGATTCAGCCCTGAGCGCCTGTGTCCTTCCCTGTAAAGTGAGGGCAGTGGCGTCTATCTTATTATAGGAGCGAGGCGACTTTCATGGCATTTGGTGCCACTTACTATTACTAATGGGAACAACAACTCAAAAAGAAATTTTAACCTGAGCAGGTCGTGCTGAGAGTTTGTTTGAGTTGACTGTGTGGGATTCAGGGTGGAAGGTAGACTGGGGGAGAATTATTTTAAGTTCCAGGGATATTTTTGAGCTTCCACCAGGCGCCAGGCGCTTGTGGGACAGAGATAAGTAAGACAGGCCTTCTGCTTTCTAAGCACTCACCGTCCTTGTGGGAAGTTCTCGGCAAGATGGAACTTTCTCGTGGCTACACTTCCCACAGCAGCGGCTCCCCAGCCAACCCCGGTGCCCGGAGTTGGTGCTCTGTTTGGACACGGTGCGCTCTCCCTGAGATCCCAGATCTGTGCAACCCACCGCCAACCTGGCTTCTCCCCTTGGGTGTCCGATAGCCTCTCAAACTTAGCGTGTGTGAGGCAGAACTCCTGAATCCACCTGCAATGTGTCCACCCACAAGGTCATCCAGGCCCTCGTCCCGGGCGTTTTCGTGGCTTCCTCTTTGCTCTCAGTCCTTGCAGGCAGTTTATCAACTGTTCTGCTCTACCTCTGAATCATGTGCCAACATGGCCCTTGTCACTCACTCCATCTCAGCTGCTGCCATGCTTGTCCAAGAACCAGGATCTCTTTCCTGGGCCAGGGCACTTGCTCCTTAGGGATGAGCCCTGAGTTCTGATTCCCCTCAGCCACTGGAGCGATGGCTGAAAGATTTGAACCAGACCACGTGGCCCCTGGAAGATCTGGGTGCAGCCTTCCTCTGAGCCTCGCTACCGTCCCTTCCCGCCCTCACGGGCTGCAGCCGCCGTGGGCCCCTGGCCTGCTCCGGCCTCTGCTGCTTTCCTGCCACCATTCCTCCTTCCGAGAGCTCCGCATGGCTGACTCTGCCCTCACCCATTCTCCTCCCCGACGTGGCCCCCTCGGAGAGGGCTTTCTTGGCGCCTTCCCGTCTCGGTCAGCGAGCCCCTCCCTTCCCCAGAAGAGTCACTCCATCGAGTCACCTGGTTTCTTTCCTGGCTGGCTCTTACGACCGCTGGAAAAACTACGATATTTAGTTATCGGCCTCCCCTGAGGATGTGAACTTCCTAAGGACAGAAATGTTTCTGCCGGCTCATCCCTGCACCCCGGCACGCGAGAGTGGTGGTGGCGGGGGCAGTGGCAGTGGTCCTGCTGCGGGCGGGGATCACCCGCTAGTGAAGCGGTGGCGATGGCGGCAGTGGTGGAGACGGTGACGGGGCTGCTGGCGGAGGTGGCAGTAGTGGTAGTGGTGGTCGAGGAGGTGGTGGTGGAGGTGGGGGTGGCCGTGGGGGCCACGGACTTGGTAGGGGTGGAGGCGGAGATGGTGGTGGTGGTGATGGTGGTGGTGGAGACAGTGATGGTCATGGGGGTCACGGAATTGGTAGGGGTGGAGGTGGAGATGGTGGTGGTGGTGGTCATGGAGGTGGTGGGGGTGGTGGAGAGGGTGATGGTCGTGGGGGTCATGGAAATGGCAGAGGTGGAGACAGAGATGGTGGTGGAGATGGTGGAGATGGTGGTCACAGAAATGGTGGTGGTGGCGGAGACGGTGATGGTCGTGGGGGTCATGGAAGTGGCGGGGTGAAGGTGGAGACGATGGTGGTGGTCGTCATGGAGATGGTGCTGGTGGTGATGGTGGGATATGGCAGGAAAATCGGTCAGAAGCTTTCTTTGGACCGTGGGAACAGCATATGCCAATCTTTTGAAGTCAACGACCCGGAAAGCCTTGTTTACAGTTGTGAATCATTTTTTGCTAAAAGAAACCAGTGCTAGCTGCCTCCGTCTCTACCTCCATTCCCATGGAAGCATTTGACGACCTGCAGCGTACGCTCTCCTGTGGGCCCGTGGTTTATGCTGACCTCCCACTTTTTCCTCCTCCCTAGAGCCCGTCCCCGCATCCTGTCAGGAGGATTCACTGGCGGACGTCATGTTCCTGGTGGACGAGTCATTTGGGACCAGACAGAACCTGCGGCACCTGCAGAGCTTCCTGGAGCGCGTCACGAGCTCCGTGGACGTGCAAGGCGACTGCATGCGGCTGGGCCTGATGAGCTACAGCAGCAGCGCCCAGACGATTTCTGCCCTGAGGGAGAGCACCACGAGCTCTGCCTTTCAGCAGCAAGTCCAGAGGCTCTCTGTCCGCGCTGGGAAGTCCAACGCCGGGGCCGCCCTCGAGCAGATGCGAGGCGGCTTCTTGGAGCTGGGCAGCAGCAGGAGGGCCCTGGGGGTGCCTCAGATGGCGGTCCTGGTCACCGGCAGGCCGGCGGACGACGAGGTGTGGCGGGCCGCGCTGAGCCTCCGGCAGGAGGGCGTGACCGTGTTTGCCGTGAGCATCCAGGGGGCCAACAGCAGCCAGCTGGAGGAAATCGTGTCGTTCCCCCCGGAACAGACCCTCACCACGCTGGAGTCCTACGCAGACTTGGAGGCTTACAGCAAGACGTTCCTGAAAAAGCTCCGCAATGAGATCTGGTCCCAAATGTCTGCTTATCCTGAACAAAAGGAGCTTGATAAAACGGGTATGTTTTAAAAGACTTTTCTTCCTATGGAAGTAGGGTATGTGTCTGCTTAGGGCTGGGGCAGGCATGAGGACTGATTTTCTCGGAGGAGGGGACTTGGGGGAGTTGTGGGGAGGTCCCAAGAGTGGACTTGGGGGATAGTTGCACAACTGAATACAGTTGCTAAACCCATACATCTACAGTGGATCAATTTATAACATGTAAATCGTACCTCGATGAAATCTAAAAGAGTGGTACAAGTTAACTGTAAAATATTGTGGTAGTATGGATGGGCATACGGAAGGAAGTATAATCGTCTGTAACCCTGTCTTCAGATAGAATTATTCTTGGTATCGATTACTCTTGTTTTTTCATCGCTCCCTCCCTCCCCCACTCCTCATTCCATCCACGCACTCACAGACACACATAGTTTTTAAAATCGCACCACCCTGGATGCATCCGGGCTGTCTCACAGAACTTTCTGCGATGATGGAAAAGTTCCCAGGCAGCAGGGAGCCTCCAGCCACACGTGGCTTCCGAGCTCTTGAAACGTGGCTGGCGTGAAGGAGGAACTGAGTTTTTCATGTCGCTCTGTTTTATCTCGTTTGAATTCGAAAAGCCATGTGTCTAGTGGCTGTCGTAGGTAATGAAGTGGTGGTATAAGCCTGCACATTGGGCTACTTGTATCCGTTAAAATCGCCTTTGGGTGTGGCCAACGGAAGACTCCCACATGACAATGATGGAAACAGGGAAAACCTTGTCTCGCTGCTTCACGGATAAGCCAGCAGTTAGGCAGGCTGAGCTGGCGGGTTGCGCCACGGTGCCAGGCCCTGTCTCCTTCCACGTTGCTTCTGCTTTTGTGGCCTTTCCTCCCGGGATCATCATCCAGGATAGTGGCCTCTGGCGCCCCTGATATCCTGCAGGCAAGAGGGGCGGAGGGGAGGCGGGTGGCCTCCACCCTGCTTTCCAGGACACCGCCCACTTACAGACACCATCTCCACTGACTTCCCACTGCTGGCCGGCACTTGCCACAGGTCACGCCTTGAGCTGGGAAGCAGAGTCTTTCTTTGTGGTAGCCAAGCACTGAGGCAAAAATATGGGGTTCCGTTAGTGTAGAAGGAGAAGATTCATACTGGGGGTAACCCGTATTCCCCACCTCACGCACTTTCTGTCAGCCTCCTGAGTGGATTGCCTGATTCCACGGGTTCAAGACCCGCCTAGGCAGCGAGACCTCATCTCTACAATAAATCAAAAAAATTAACCGGGCATGGTAGCGCGTGCCTGTAATTTTGGCTACTTGGAAGGGTGAGGCGGAAGGATCGCCGGAGCCCAGCAGGTCGAGGCTGCGGTGGCCGGGAGCGGCCACTGCACTCCAGTCTGGGAGACAGAGTGAGACTCCAACACAAAAAAAGAAAACAAAAAACTAAAAACAAGAACCCCTTTCCTGGATGGGCAGGAGTGGGAAACTGCCAGGGATGGAGGAGGTACCCCTCATTGACAAGGGTACCTGCATAGTGAACATATGTATGCCTAACCCTGAATTGTATCCCACATCTTTTTTTTGGAATCAGAGTCTCACTCCGTCACCCAGTGACACACTCACAGTCACCCCAGTGTCGGCCTGCTGGGTTCAGGCGATCCTTTTGCCTACAGGCAAGTGCTACCATGCCTGGCTAATTTTGTTGATATATTGTAGACACGAGTACTCACCAAGTTGCCCAAGTTGGTCTTGAACCCCTGGGCTTAGGCAATCCTCTCTCTCACCTTGGCCTCTGCTGGGATTACGGGCTTGAGACACTGCGCCCGGCTATAACCCACATCTTTAAAATAAAAATTTTTTTAAAAATCTTTTTATAAACAGAAAAAGAAAAAAAGAACCCCTTTCCTTAAGCATTCATTTGTGACATTCTTTCTAACTTGGGAATCGTGTTTCGTTGTATGAATAAGCCATGATGTGTTTACCGTATCTTAACTTGCCGGGCATCCAGGCCAGTGTTTTGCTCATATAAAGTCTTGCAGAACGTCCTTGCACCTGTATCTGTGTCTGCATGACCATGATGAGTATCACGCCTTTTTATCCTTGTCCCTTTCTCCTCCTGTGCCCCTAGTGATGGCTCTGCCGGCGAAGAGCCTATGTGAATCTGCTGCAGTTTTACTGCGCTCTTTTCGGAGGTGCGTGTGCGAGATCCTCAGTGTGACCCTGAGGGTCTCCAATTCTGAGAAATCTGCTGCCTTCACACATTTTCTCTGCTGATACAATGCTCCCAAGCAATTGAAGCTGGAATTTGGCCTCACTCTCACGGAAAGGAATTGCAATATTCCAGTGATATCGAAGGCTGGTTTTAAACTCAATAGAAAGCAGGCTTCAGGGTGCCTCTTGGGCCAGCCTGGACTTTCAGGCATGTTCGCCTACGAGGCAACAGCAAGGAAGAAGGCCCCCGTCACCTCTTAAGTGACATATCGGGGAACCTACTGTGGTCAGTGCCCACTCCTAGACCACAAGAGGGGCGTGTTGTGTGACTGTCTCAGGGAGTTTGCAATGCTGGGGCAAAAAACTATTGTTGTCATGATAGAAATTACAGATGGGAAGACACGGGACCAAAGCCAGGGAATGAGGCCTCCCGGGTCGTGCTTGCGTAACTCAGGTCCTCTCAGAGGCTGGAGCCCGCTAGGCTGGGCTCCTCAGAAGGAGGAACCAGGTGAGGAGTCACGTGAAACTGACACATGCCCAGGAAAGGTAGAGACTGGCCGAGAAATGAGCAGTTGGGAACAGGAGGGAAAGAGCAATAAGCCCGTGGCCAGTAGTTGGGGCCATCCCACGGTGTCATCTGGAGACCATAGGTCAGCCTTGGAGCTGCCAGGCTGGGGACAATGTAACTAGAGAGTGCGGAATATCCCAGCCCATGGAGATGTCAATTCCAGACCCTTCTGGCTCAAGGGGAGGCAAAGAAGTTTCCGGAAACCCTGGAGCAGCTCGCTCACAGACGCAGCATTTGCCACTGGAAGGGAAAGCAAAGCACAAGTGACCAGCATGCATGGATGGCACGAGAGCTGTGACATGCAGACAGGGCACTGGCAGTGCCTCCTGCCAACTCGCAAGTCCCCTGAGGACTGGCCTACACCTCCATCCTAAGCCCGATGAATCAGTCTCTGAGGTGCAGCCTGGGCACCTGCATTTTCGTCAGCGCCCTAAGGAGCACGTGCTAGTGCTGAGACCGCCACCTTTGAGAACGTGCTGTGGTCTAGAGTGTGGTGGCCAGCTTTGCGGTTCCAGAGCCATCAAAGCACAGCAAAACCACCTATATCACTGCCGTGCCGTTATGTCTGGCACATAGGAAGCGTTCACTTAGTATTAAATAGAACTTCATTAAATCAAAGGGAAACTCACATTAGCCAAACTCAGACTCATGTATGGAAAAAGAATGACAGCTGTCTTTGTAACAATGAGGTCTATCAATTGCCACAGGCCCGCTCTCCTCTGGGTAGTACTTTCTCTTCCTTTAGACATGCCAAGTTAAAAGCTACATTTAATCAAAAGACTGCCGGGGGTTGTGGGATCAGAACAAGAGCTAGTTGAACGGCTGCATTGTCTAGTGGCATTCATTTGGGCAGATGTTTCTATTCTTTTTTTTCTTTTTTGAGTCGGCGTCTCACTCTGTTGCCCAGGCTAGAGCACAGGGGCACGCTCATGGCCACTGCAGCCTCGACCTGCTGGGCTCAGGCGATCCTTCCTCCTCAGCCTTCCAAGTAGCCGGAACTACAGGCATGCACTACCACGTCCAGCTATTTTTGACTTATTGTAGAGACGAGGTCTCGCCAAGTTGCCCAGGCTGGTCTCAAACCCCAGCAATCCTCTCACCTTGGCCTCTAAAGTCAAGTATATGCAACTCTTTCGATATTTCTCTATATAACTGCCTGGGTGAGGCCTTGAGCCAGGGGATGCATTCTCACAGGATGGAAATGCTCGTTGGCTGGGCGTAGTGGCTCATGTCTATAATCCCAGCACTTTGGGAGGTCAAGATAAGAGGATGTGAGTTTGAGACCAACCCTGGCAACTTGGCGAGACCTCGTCTCTACAATAAATAAGAAAATTAGCCAGGCGTGGTAGCGTGCACCTGCAGTTCTGGCTACTTGGAAGACTGAGGTGACCTTTGCATGAGCCCAGAAGGTTGACGCTAGGGTGGCCATGAGTGTGCCACTGCACTTCAGCCTGGGCGACGGAGTGAGACTCTGACTCACAAAAAAAAAAAAAAAAAGGAATGCTCGCCATCTGTGCCGTTCAACTTGGCAGCTATGAGCTACAAGGAACTGTGAGGTACTTCAAACGTAGCCAGTGCACCAGAGGTGCTGACTTGTAATTTTGTTCACTGCTACGCACTCTAGCTTTGCATTTTAATAGCAACGTGCACCTAGGGGAGGGTGTACTGGACACACGGCTCCAGGCAGGGACAGATGGGCACAGGTGGGGCTTCCTGCTGTGATACATCTTCTCTCCCGCCTTGCAGGCCCTGCCGCCTTCTTCTGATGAGCTCTCGATTCTTCATTAGACATTGAAACGGATTTGTTCAGGTTGCTTTCAAGTTTGGCTGGTCTGGTGTCAACCCTGCCTTTTTCCGAGAGCTGCTTATCTTGCCTGAGTACTGTGTATTGATTTCATAGCTTAATTCTCAGGATGAAACTTATTTCTAGCATGTCTGATTTCCTAGGGACAGCTGCCCACAGCCTGCAGCAGTGTCAGTTCCCACGAGTTACCCAAAAGCTGTCAAGAAGGAACATGATTCTGAAAGGACTGAGTTGTCGTGTATTTTAAAGATCACGTGCTCAGGCAAATGTTGGCATAAATATCCCAAATTTTGCAAATAGGCTTTCTCCTGCCCAGTTTTGATGAAAGACTACAAAGAGAAGTAGCCGACCTCGGTGGCTCGGCCTGTCATCCTGCGCCTTCGGGAGGCTGAGGCGAGTGGATGGCCTGAGCCCGCGGGTTCGAGACCCACCTGGGCAGCGAGACCTCATCTCCACAATAAATAAATAATCAGCCGGGCGTGGTAGCGCATGCCTGTAATTCCGGCTCCTCGGAAGGTTGAGGCGGAAGGCTCGCCGGAGCCCAGCAGGTCGAGGCTGCGGGGGCCGGGAGCGGCCACTGCCCTCCAGTCTGGGCGACAGAGTGAGACTCCGACTCAAAAAGAAAACAAAATCAAAGAGAAGTACACAGGCTATTAAGAAAGCTACAGTACTTTTCTCATAGATTCAGCATGATAAAGGAAGGGCCGTCGGGAAGTCTTTGGCTGGAGAAACTGTTGGGCTCCTGTGCTGGCCCAGGCCTAGCGAGCAGAGCAGAGAAGGAGGCAGGGTCCGTCCTGGCGGAGCCGACACTCTGTGACAAGGGACAGGCTGTGCTCACGACCAGGTCGAAGCTCGTTTCAGAAAGTGCCACTAAGCAACAGGGTAGGCGAGGGCCAGAGGAGAGAAACCTCTCCAGGAACTGACTCGACACCCCCTCGAGGAGGAGGAAGCAGCCGCGGGGATATCTGGGGGAAGAATCCTCCAAGCAGAGGGGAGGGCACGTGCCCATGGGTCCCCTCTGAAAGGAGGCCAGTGTGGCCGGAGCGCGGGATGGGACGGAGGTTGCTGGAGATGGTAGAAGAGCAAAGCAGGAGGCAGGACGGGCCGACTGTCTGTGCTCAGGTTCCAAATGCCATGAGGTCATTCACGTGGGAGAGCAGGGAAGGAGGTCTGATGCTAGCTTGAAATACGTCATCCTGGTTGCTCATGGAAGAAGAGGCCACTGGGGAGGTAAGAGCAGGCGGTCATCCACCCAGGCCTTTTCTCAGGAAACGACGAGGCGTGCGCTGCATCAGAAGGCGGGTGTCCGCTCCAGAAACACTCCTGAGCCTGGAGCCCGTGGCTCGGGGCTGAGCCTTCTCCTCCCTGGCTGGGTGGCCTTGGACAGGCCGCTCTCACCTGCCCCATTTCTATTTCCTCACAGGGTTGTTGTAAACTTCCAGGGAGAAAACAGACACACGTGTGTCTGCTGGAGTGGTGGGCTCTCTGGGACAAGAGGCGTCCACGTCCTTCGATGTGACCCCAAAGTCCCCCTTACAGTGCTCTCTCTCAGTTCTCTGATTCACGGAGAATGCACTTTGCTTTTTTTTTCAGGCTGTGTGGACACAAAGGAGGCCGACATCTACTTCCTCATCGACGGATCAAGCAGCATCTGGGGGGGATACTTCACAGAAATCAAAGAGTTTATGCAGAAGGTGATAGACATGTTCAGCATTGGTCCCGACAAGGTCCGAGTTGGGGTTGTGCAGTATTCAGATAAGAGGCAGGTGGAATTCAGTATCACTGACTATTCTAACGAAGTTGACTTAGGAAAGGCTGTTTTGAACATCAAGCAACTAACAGGTAACACCTACACGGGGAAAGCCCTGGATTTCATGCTGCCGACCATCCGAAAAGGAAGGGAGAGTCGGCCCCGCCCCGTTCCCTGCTACCTCATCGTGCTGACCGATGGGAAGTCTGCAGACGCTGTCCAGGAACCCGCCGACAGACTCAGGGAGGAGCAAGTCATCGTCCATGCAGTCGGCGTCGGGGAGGCCAACAAAGCAGAACTGCGGCAGATTGCTGGGCAAGAAGACAGGGTCAGCTTCGGGCAGAGCTTCGATGCTTTGAAAAGCATCAAGGATGAGGTGGTTCGCAGAATCTGCACTGAAGAAGGTAAGCGGCACAGAAAAGCCTTCTCCACCTGTCACCAGCAGCTTTGGGCAGATGAACCACCAGTCTGAGCCCAGGCCCGATGTGACCCGTGGTCTGGACAGCGTTCTGTTGACTTCCTTTACCACCACGGAGGGGTTGGCCCTCGCCTTGAACCAAATGCCCAGACCCGAGAATCCTCTGTAGACCACAGCCCAGGGCTACCTTGGAGGTCATGGCGGGAAGGTTGCTAAGCACGCTGGGGCCTTGACAAAGCCCACTGCTGTGGGGGGAGAGAGATTCTGGTCTCCATATGAGTTGCATGTGCGTGTGTGTACGTGTGTGTGCGTGTGCACAGGTAGGGACCATGGAAAGAACGTGGGCTTTGGCTCAAGAGTCAACCTATTAGGGTTCAACTCACTTTTCTGCTTGAGCCTGAAACATCTTTCTCTATAAAATGCGGATCATACCTACCTCAGAACATCCCTGCAGGTGGGACACCACCAACACTAGGTGTTATCTTTAGATTATGAACTCATACCATACATATATAGCAATCGCTTCTTTTTATTTATAACAGAAACATTCATTTAGATTTTTAACTAGAGATTAGATACCAAATGTTAACAAAAACAAGTTGCAAATTTTTGTCTAGTTGTTTATTTATTTTTAATTAATCGATATTTTTTTGAGTTGGAGTCTCACTCCATCGCTCAGACTGGAGTGCAGTGGCACGCTCCCGGCCACCGCAGCCTCGACCTGCTTGGGCTCCGGCGATCCTTCCGCCTCAGCCTTCCAAGTAGCCGGAACGACAGGCGCGTGCTACCACACTCGGCTAATTTTTGATTTGTTGTAGAGATGAGGTCTTGCCAAGTGACCTGGGCGGGTCTCGAACCCGCGGGCTCAGGCAATCCCCTCACCTCAGCCTCCCAAAGCACTGGGATTACAGGCTGAGCCACCGAGCCCAGCTATTTTAAATTTTTTTATATTTTGGGGGTTGAAGTCTCACTCTGTTGCCCAGGCTGGTGTGCAGTAGCACAGTCATGGCTCACCAGGGCCTTACCCTTTTAAATTTGCCTCAGCTTCCCGAGAAGCTGGGACTACAGGCATGTGTCATCACCCCTAGCTAATTTTTAAATTTTTTTTGTAAGGCTGAGATCTTGCTATGTTGCCCAGGCTGGTCTCGAACTCTTGGGCTCAAGCAATCTTCCCACCTCAGCTTCTCAAAGTGCTGGGATTACAGACTTGAGCCACCGAGTCTGGCCTGCTTAGTATTTCTCTTACTGGTAACCGCCACTCACTAGCTGAAGGTGGTGTGTGCGGGTTGCCGGTATCAGCACGTGAACCTGTTCCTTGCTGAGGGGCTCGTTCATTCATTGGTGGAAAGAAAGGACGCTGGGGTCAGAGTCAAGGTTCCAACCCAGCTTTGCCGTTGACGAGCTGTGGACCTCGAGTTAGTTGCTATCTGCTTGCTTTGGCGTCCTTGTGCGTGGGCTTGTTCTGAAACTTCATGGTGACGGCACATTAGGCACTTAGCCTGGCACTCGTCAGTGCCACGTGACAGCTGCTGCAGCGTTGGCTGAGGCGCTCACTGAGGGGAAGGGAAGGGTTCTCACTTATTCAAACTTACCAAAGAGAAAATGTGTTTGAGTTTTTCTCTAAGTCACTAGGAAACAAAAAAACAAATAAGCAAATAAGTAAGATGAACCACAAAACCCCACAGCACAATCATGGTCCTTTTTCTGCCTGTTTCGGACAGCAAGAGCTGGGTCTTCAGGATGTTTTAGAAAGAGTGCAGAAGTGCGAGGTCCCCTGCATTTCCCGGCACAAGACCAAGAAAAGGAAAGGGGTTTCAGGAAGCACCACGTAGACCGCGCCTCGGGTCCTTTGCGGGAGAGGGCCCTGCACCCACCCGAGAAGGGGCCGTGCTTCCCTGAAGTTCAGGGAGTCGCCGGTGAGGATGCCAGCTTGGACACGGGCACGCCTGGAGAAGGGGGCAAGCTGGGACGAGGAAGGAGCCAGGAGATGGTGAACGAGAGGCAGGAGCGCCGAGGAGCCAGAGCCCAAGGGGACGGCAAAGCGCAGGCGCAGAGAGGGCAGGCAGGGGAGGGAGTCGGGGGGCCAGTGGGGGCGAGGTGAGCTGCTGTCCAAAGGCCTCCAGCTACACAGCTGAGAAGATTGGTGACCCGTCCAGAGAGGGGGACGGAGAGGCTGTTCCAGCCTCAACACACAGCCTCCACCTTTAGGTCGCCGTTGAAGAGCCAGTGCTCGTCAGCTCCCATCTGTGCACAGGGAGGAAGGACCACGGGAGCCCCCTCCCACTCCACTGTTTTAGGGGCAAGAACCAGAAGTGGACAGACCACTTCAGCTCATGCCTAGCGGCCAACAGTTAGTCCCAGGGCCACATCTGGCTTCACGGAAGCCTGGGAAGTGCGATCTCCAGGGGGCAGCCGTCTGCCTAGCCAAGGCTTTCTTAATATGGGAGAGCGGGAAAACAAATGTTGGGACAAGAAGCAGCCTCTGTCCCCAGCAGATACAAGGAGGTAGATCCCGAGAATGCGAATCCGCATCCTAAGTGTGTTTCTTTTACATGAGTCACATGGAGGCGGATCTTCCACACTTCCCTGCAGTGGGGCTTTGTTAAGGTCATGGACGTCTTCAGGGACTTCCGTACTGAGGACTTTCAAGATGACGCCAGGCTAGTGTGAGTCTTCGAGGGGGAATGTGAGCCCTCCAGTGGATCAGAAGCTTGGTCTTCGGCAACACGTGTTATTAAAAAATAATTAATATTTAATAATAATTAATATTTTCATTTTTCCTCATGTGACGGAGTCTGTTTATTTTCCAGCAGTATGGAATGAACTTGAGAGTGTTGAGAGACTGGTAAGAGGATGGCAGAGATCACAGAGGGACAAAATAAGACGACGGACATACATGCTAAAGACAGTATATTTACACATCATATTTATATATATGTACATACACACACAACATATGTACCATGAACTAATAAGTGCTTAAATAGCTTATGGAAATTGGTCTTTTGTGTGTGTGTGTGTGTGTGTGTGTGTGTGTGTGTGTGTGTATCCACTTCCAATCAGTAGGCTAGCTATAAATTTTATGTCTAAGTAAAGGAGCAGTCCATGTTTGATCAGTATGCGCTTACTAAAACACTTATCTCCACTCATAACTTTTCACTTCAATTTCTCATGTTGATTTATAGTGTTTATGAAATCACTTAAAATTGTCTCAGAAAATCGTGCTACTGAAAGGTTATCTGGAATTATTTGGAACTGTGCTTTTCAAGACTGTCCATAAGCCCCTGCAACACGAGTCCTGTGAGTGCAGGGTGTTGGTTGCTTGGGCTCTGGCTCCTTCTTAGATCATGGCTGCATCCTTGACACATAGACTGATCCTTGGCATGCCATACACCTCCAGAGGTGTGGATGCACAACCTATGGATGCATGAGTGACGTGTGCATGCATCAATGAACAGCCAGTGCTCTGGATGTGACATTTCCCCCTTAAAACTCCTCGTGCAATCATCAGTGGATGTCGGGTTCAGAGTCCTAGCCTACAGGCTTCTACAAAAGAGGCAAAATGTCCAAACGTCATAGCAGCTGTTTGAGTTGACTTTCAGCGTTTTCTCATCCATGCATTTGTGTCTGCCTTCGCGTTTCAATACATTCTGAGAGCCACTGCAGTCTCATTGACTTCTGGTCTTTTCTTATGATGTGCAGGATGTAAAGACATGAAGGCTGACATCATGTTTCTGGTGGACAGTTCCGGGAGTATAGGACACGACAATTTTGAGAAGATGAAAACCTTCATGAAAAACCTGTTGGCGAAGATTCAGATTGGTGCAGGCAAAAACCACGTTGGCGTTGTTCAGTTTAGTGACACCACTAAGGAAGAGTTCCGGCTTGACACATACCTCACCCAGAAAGAAGTTTCCGACGCAATAGGTAGAATGTCTTTCATCGGCAATAACACTTACACCGGAAGGGCACTCGCCGACGTAGACCAGTATTTCACCCCCTCCAAGGGGGCCCGTCTCGGAGTCAGGAAGTTTCTCATCCTCATCACGGACGGAGAAGCGACGGATAGCGTGAGGGACCCGGCTGGAGTTCTTCGCAGCAAACATGTGACCATCTTCTCCGTGGGCGTGTACGGCGCCAACCGGACGCAGCTGGAGGAGATCAGTGGGGACAGCAGCCTGGTGTTTCACGTCGAGAACTTCGACCACCTGAAGACAATAGAAAGCAAGCTTGTCTTCAGCGTGTGTGCTCGCCACGGTAAGTGCCCTGTGGTCTCACGGGTGTGAACTGAGGACTGGGCAGTGAGCGACAGTGGCCTCCACCTAACTTCGAGGTTGAGCCTTGTCTGTGTTCTATCAAAACACCCCTGACCTCCGGGGAAATTCCAGGTTAACTATTTTGGCACAAAATAGTCTGGCTTTGGTGACTTCAGGTATATTCCAAGAGATCTTAGAATTTTCCATGAAACTTCCGACTCTCATATCCATATACCTGGATTTTCCAGGGTCAGTTTTTGAACCCAAATGATTTTCTAGAATTATTTCTAGGCTACCTATAACAATTGCTAAGCAGTGAATAATTAGGAAATCAAATTCACCTTCCTCTTATTTAAATGGAGTCCAGTATGCTAAGCAACCCCCCACACCAAAAAACCCTTTGCATTTGAAAGATATAGTGTATATTTTCATTATTTCTAGTTATTCTTAACATTTGTCAACTAGGTAGTTTATGTTTGCCTGTTCATGTATCTATGCCCCTGGAAAATTTAAACTTGTAGCTTCTCTGATTGCTTGAGATCATCTTGATCTTACAAGCGGCATTGCTTTTGAAATAGTATTGAGCAACCTTAGTTGGTTCCTATCAACTTAAATGCCTCTTGAATGAGAACTTGCTATAAATCCACAAAAAACCCCCAAATTATCTGTGTGTTAATATCCATCATGTGATGTTATCTGTGTTTTGGACACAACTAAGAGAGCGTGACGCATGTTTCCCTGGCGACATGGAGACCTCCATCAGATTTTGTTCTCCAAAGGTTATGTGTGTGGAAATTTTTAGAAAGTTAACAAAATATCTTGTAAACACTTAAGTTGTAGGTGATAGCTCTAAAACTTCCTTGGTAACTTGGGGTTTTTTCATTAGTTGGGGTTTTTCCTCCTCGCAAAGTGGCAGCGATTCCAAAACTCTCGCTAACGTTGAGGGGTGTTCTGAAGACCGAAGCTTCAGTTTTGGCATCTGTGGGCCTCTTCTTGGCCTCTCTTCATGTTGAAAACTCTAAGTGTAGCCAGGCGTGGTGGCTTAAGCCTGGCTTTCCAGGAAACCGAACAAGAGGATTGCCCGAGCTCAGGGATTCGAGACCAGCCTGGGCAGCTTGGCAAGACCTCATCTCTACAACAAATAAAAAAAAAAGAAAAAGAAAAAATTAGCCGGACGTGGTAGCACGTGCCTATAGTTCTAGCTAACTGGAAGGCTGAGGAGGAAGGATCGCTCGAGCCCAGCAGCTCGAGGCTGCGGTGGCCGTGAGTGTGCAACTGCACTCCAGCCTGGGCAACAGAGTGAGGCTCGGACTCAAAAAAGAAAGAACAGAAAAAGAAAACTCTAAATGTGAGGCCCTGTCTACAGCGTAAGGTGAAATTTCAGCAGATTCATGCGTGAGATCTTCTCATGGATATCTGTCAAGTCATAGCTGGTCCCCAAATCTCAGCGAGTCATTGCGCCAGGTTTCTGCAGATGTAACCTGGGCTCCTCCCTGTTGCCTGACACTTGAAAATCTGACACTTCGTGATTGGTAATTAGGGCTGTAGACAGGACAGACAGGTGGAGAGTGGAGAAGGCGAGCCTTTGGAAGGCATGAGTTTAAGTCATTGAGGGAAGGGAAAGAGTGGGAGAGAGTCCACCCTGCGAAGCCCCCACCAGGGTGGCCGCCTGGCTTCCCCCAGAGGAGGCCTGGGCTCAGGGAAAAGGTGCGAGGAGCCCTTGCTGTCCTCCTGCTTGGGCTCTCCTTTCTGAGCTTGAATCCCAGGAGTCAGGGAGGGAGCACAGACAGCCGCAGACAGGCATGGCGTGCAGGGCAGGCCTGCCGACCAGGAGGCCCCAAGATGGCGGCAGCCAGAGGGCGGGGGCTAAAAATCTCAACCGCACTTGGGGTCCCAGGCGCTCTGGAACAGCGGGCACACCTGGCGAGCATCAGTCGGTCTGTCTCACCACCACATGGGCATTGGACTCGCTTCCGACATTGCCTTTCAGCCAGAAGCCTGCTTTGCAAAAGGCACTCATGTCCTGATGAGATAGAGTAAAACAAGGGGGCCGTGGCGTCAGGGCCTCGGTGGGGAGTCGCTGAGAGGAGGGGGGGGCGATGTCCTTGGCATCATGACATACGTAGGCTGTCGCGCTTCCCGGAGCCTCAGCTTTGTTCTCTGCGAAATGGCAGTGGCCGCCTTCAGGAAGCAAGCAGGTGGTGGCGTGTGGCGTGTGGGGGACTAGCGGCCACTGCTTGAGCGCGCTGTCCGCCTGGGCACTCTGTGTGGAGGCCTGTGGGAAGCACATGACGTGCTCTCCTCCCCTTTCAGATTGCAAGAGGATCGAGCTGCTGGACGTCGTGTTTGTGCTGGACCACTCGGGAAGCATCCTCCAGGAAGATCGCGAGCGCATGGTGAACATGACCATCCACTTGGTGAAGAAGGCGGACGTGGGCCGGGACAGGGTGCAGTTTGGGGCACTCAGGTACTCCGACCAGCCAGAGGTTCTCTTCTACCTGAACACGTACCCGAGCCGAGACGGCATCATCAGGAACCTGAGGATGCGCCGGGACACGGGCGGGGACACGTACACGGCACGGGCGCTCAGGCAGGCAGGCACCCTGTTCACCCAGGAGCACGGTAGCCGCATCACACAGGACGTTAGGCAAATGCTGGTCGTGGTCACCGACGGGGAGTCCCACGACCGAGAGCAGCTCAATGACACGGCCTTCCACCTGCGAGACAGAGGCATCACCATCTTTGCGGTGGGCGTGGGGGCGGCTGACAGGAAGGAGCTGGAGGGCATGGCGGGGAGCAAAGAAAACACCATCCACGTCGAAGATTTCGACAAGCTGAAGGACGTCTACACGGCCATACAAGAGAGCATGTGCATCAACTCACAAGAGGGTAAGTCATGACTTTCAACGTTTCTGAAGGTAGCAATGAATGGTTCGGTCAAAAATAAGCAGTGAGGCTTGGCCACCAGTTTTCTCCTCTCTAGAGGAAGCGGGTTGGTTGATAGAGCGAGACCCCAGGGCCCCTTCCCACCCCAGCGTGCCCTAAGAGATGGCACAGGAAGGTTCCGGAAGCATTTCTTGCTGTCGTGCTACCCGGTGGCCTTTTCTGAGAGACAGGATGTTTTGTAAGGCCACGCTCCCCTCACCCTATTTCGGGGCCACTCACCCTGGTCGGTGGCTACTGGCCTCAACGCAGCCACGGGGCCTCTGTTTCAGCCAAACTCCCGGAGAGGGTCACAGTTTAAACAGAGGGACATTGGTCTTCCAAGACCACCGGACCCTCCGGGTGGGATTCTGTGCATCCTCTAGGGCCACTGGAAGTCCCAGGGGTCTGAGGCCCTCTTCGGCACGAGAAGGCAGGGTGGGCTGATGGAGTTGGGCTAACAGGACCCGGGAGAGGGACAGGCACTCTGTCGAGGAGAGGCTGAGTCCTCTGTCCCTGGAGCCGCAGAGGTCCAGAGCTGGTGGGGGTGTGCTCCTCGGAGGGTCTAGGTCCTTGTGGCCTGGGCAAGTCGGTCTCCAGCCGACATCCTTCTCCATGTGCTTTCTCCCCGCCTCCCACTCTTTCCCCTCCCTCCCTCCCTCCCTCCCTTCCTTCCTTCCTTCCTTCCTCTCTACCAACACGAAGCTCACTTCTGTCGCCAGCACAAGCCATGTTTCCAAGGCCGCAGCACCCACACTGCCTCTGTAGCTGGTCCAACCACAGGAGGAGCCCCCCGCGTCCCGGATCAGGCCTGAGCTGGCTGAGCAGAAGGAGCGGTGCACGACCCCGGCTTCCCTCCCCTGAGCAGGCCAAGTTCACCCTCCTGGCTGCCCAGCTCCCACGAGGGCGTCCTCTTTAGCTGAGCCCAAGGCAGAACTTTCCCAAGGCAAAGGGCCCTCTCAGGCGACTGCCTGTTTTGTGCTGACCCTGGACTCCCGCCCTGGAGCCCAGCTTCCTTCTGTCCTGCCACGGAGGAGTCATGCAGCACTGAGTCACCATTACGCTACACGCGGGACAGGGTCGCTCCTAGCTTAGTGTTCAGGAGGCCAGCCTTGGACTTTGGCTCTTGGCCCCACCCCCTCCCTCAACTCCCCTCCCCCTCTCGGTCCCCTGAGCCCCCTCCCCAGGGTGAGGACCCCATGCTCGTTCACCTCCATCGCTACTAGCTCTTGCTCCACGGAGTTTTAACCTGTGGCTTGTGACACTGGAAGGAAAACGTTGCCACAGAAAACAGTGATGAATTCAGGGTGGAAACCTCTGGGGGTCCAGACACCTGCTGCTCACCGGACCGATTCTGGCTCTTGGAAAGTCATGTCACCTCTGGATTCTGTTTCCATGTTTATAAAATCTGAATAATCCCTCGTATGGGGGGTTGTGAATTTTAACTGTGCTATCTTATCCCAGAAGCATTTTACAAGTCTTGCTTCTCCAAGTGAACAGAAAGTGGCTGCCTGCGTCCTAACAGGGGTGCCCATGATGCACCTGGGGTCTTATTTCCCTGACTCGGGTGAATGCCCCCGTCTGGGCATGCTGATGGGATGCCCAGCCTTTTAATGAGGATTTCATACCTGATCACACCTCCTGCTTTCCTTCTCTGATTAGCCCTTGGTGTCTTTTCAAGTAGATCTTGTAAATAATTAAGTTTTTAAAACCTCTGTCACCTGTCCCTTTTGGCTGGGTTTCCTTCTTTTTAGGGCCAATCAGTGATTCTCTGTGATGCATCGTGATTTGCCACTAAAGTAAAGCTACTGAAGCTATTTGCCTGAGGGGTATGTTGGGGACGATCCGGGAGGACCATGACACTGCTTTTCTTCTCCTGTTGCAGTCTGCAAGCTTCCGGAGGCCGACGTGGTTTTCCTTTGCGACGGCTCCGACAGGGTGTCGGATTCGGCGTTTGTGACCATGACCGCTTTCTTGGCAGACCTGGTTGATAATTTTGACATTCAGTCTCAAAGAATCCAAGTCGGCATGGCTCAGTTTGGAAGCCACTACCAACAAATGATTGGGCTGAAGAACTCCACGACCAGGGCCCAGTGGAGGGCTCGGGTCCAAGCCATCCCAAAGAGCGGTGGGCGTCCGAGGATGGACTTGGCCCTCCGATACGTGAGCGGGATGTTTAGCCTCTCCGCCGGCGGGAGGAGAAACGCGGGCGTCCCTCAAGCCTTGGTTGTCATCACATCTGGGAAACCCAGCCACCCCGTGGCCGACGCGGTCAGAGCCCTGAGAGACCTGGGCATCTGCGTCCTGGTGTTGGGCGTGGGAGATGTGCGTAAGGAGGCGCTCCTGCCCATCGCGAGGAATTCTGGGAAAATCCTCACTTTCAAGAACTTTGATAAGTTAAAGGAGGGGCACGTGAAGAAAAGAGTCGTGCGGGAAATCTGCCAGACCTGCGGAGGGACCGGTAAGTGCCCCGGGGGATGGGATCACCCCACCCCCAAAGCTTCTTGTCCCCTTTTCCCGAGGGTGTCTTGTCAGCGGCGGGCTCTGCAGAACTCACCTTAGGACACGCACAGTGAGGAGGGCCGCTCTCTGCCTCCAGGGAGGCTGGCTGTGTCAGCCTCCCCCAAGACGAGGCACGGTGCAGCGGTGAGAGGGCTGGGCTGTGGCCTCTGGTCCACCCTATCCTTGCGCTGGGACCCCACGTCGGCTATCCTCTGAGCACCTGGCCTCCGTCCCCGATGTCTTCCCGTCACTGCTGGAGCTCCCAGGACAGCAGGGAGTGGGGAACGTGAGCCCCCGCTGACTGCAAGGGTCACTGTTTTAACTTTGCCGGACCCTCTCGAGGGTGTGTATGCACGTGTGTGCAGCGCACATCCTCTGTTTTTAATGATGATGACGTCTATGTAGTCGTGAGAGAGTGAAGGTCTGATCTGTCCTTGGAGATGATCTATCCCAGAGGTCACAGCGAGTGGTGCAGAGGCAGGGCGGGTGGTGACATGAGTCAGTGGACCTCGCGGGCGGAGGGTGGACTGGAGGGTGGCATCTCCGCCCTTGGGCTGTCACCCAGCTCTTGCTCGGGGAGCTTGAGGCAGAGAGTCGGGGGCACCGCAGGGCCGGACACAGAGAATGAGGCGAGTCGCGGCATCTGTGCGACATGCGGGAACTCCCAGGGCGCTGTGTCTCCGAGCTGCTGTGACGGGAGCGCTCCGTTCACGGTTCTGTCTCCCCGAGTTCCAGGCTGGACGTCCCGCGACAGGGGGGTTCTGCCCGGTGGGCTGCGGGGAAGACCGGCTCTAGGAGCCAAAGCCCGGGTTCCAGCTCGGTGTGGCAGTGGCGGCGGCAGCCTCCCTCAGCACCGTCTCCTCATGGGGGCAGGGCTGGAGTGACTACACGGCAGCCTGGGTGTCCCGGCCAGGGCTGACAACTTGCTCGGTAGACAGCGTTTCCAAACTGGAGGCTTCACAGGAAAGTGTGGAGGTCAGGCCAGCAGTCCGAAAGACCGGACCTGACGGCCCCGAACCCCGCCTCCCACGTGGCTCCCAGCAGCCGGAGCCGACGGTGACCGGGTTGGGATTTTCCTTTCTCGTTCCGTTTCCCACGTCCTGCTGTCCTGACTGGCTACACCCCTCATCGGCCTTCACAGCCATGCGTGTGTGACCTCTGAGATCAAATAATTTCAGACCAAGCACAGTGGCGCACGCCTGTAGTCCCACTTTGGGAGGCCAAGGTGGGAGGTTTGCTTTAGCCTAGGCATTCAAGACCAGCTGGGCCACCTAGCGAGAGCTCATCTCTACAAAAAAATTTAAAAAATAATCTGGGCGTGGTGGCGCGTGCCAGTAGTCCCAGCTGCTTGGAAGGTTGATACTGGAGGATCATTTGAGCCCAGGAGTTTGAGGCTGTGGTGAGCCATGATTGTGCCACTGCCCTCTAGCCTGGGCGACAGTGAGAACCCGACTCAACAAAATAATAATTAGACAAAAATCTTAAAAATTAACTTAAATGATCTCTAAGGGCAGTTCAGAACTTTAGTTTTTTATGATTATGTGAATCAGAATGTGTCGCCATTAAAGGAAATAATGTGCTTACACACACACACACACACACACACACACACACACACACACTCTCTCTCTCTCACACACAGCTACTGAGGATGACAGTACACTGTGGTTTGAACTTCCAGTAGCGATCTTAGTATCTGGAAGGGGCAGGGACCCCTGTGTCACAGGTCACCCAACAGCCAACACCCCTTCTGAGCCCTCCTGGATGCCAGGCCCCCCCCCCCCAGACTCGACAGCCATCCTCCCCCTGCTGGTCGCCCCCAACCCCACCCGCACACTCACCCACCCTGCCTCCCTTGTCTCCAGCCTGCTTCCTGGACGTGGTGGTCGGGTTCGACGTCTCCACTCACCAACCCGGCCAGCCTTTGTTCCAGGGCCACCCCCGGCTGGAGTCCTACCTCCCGGGCATCCTAGAGGACGTCACCTCCATCCGGGGGGTGAGCTGCGGGGCGGGCACGGAGGCGCAGGTGAGCGTGGCATTCAAGGTGAACAGCGACCAGGAGTTCCCCGCCAGGTTCCAGATTTACCAGCCGGCGCTGCTGGACAGCCTGCGGCAGGTCACCGTCAGCGGGCCCACTCGGCTGGACGCGCCCTTCCTGCAGGCCCTGTGGGACACCTTTGAGAACAAGTCGGCCTCCCGGGGACAGGTAGACTCCCTGTCCGGGCTCCCAGCCACCCTCCCCGATCCTTCCCGCCAGAGGTCTGGCTTCCCTGTCACCCAGTCCTGTCCATTGCCCTGACCACCCCATCACCCTAATTTCCCCATCACTCTGTCTTCCCCGTCACCTATCCTCCCCATCACCCCCCTTCCCTGTCACCCTGACTTCCCCGGCACCCTGCCTTTCCTGTCACCCCGCCCTCCCCCTTTTCCGCCCTTCCCCTCCCCCCACCCTCCCCCTCACCAGTCTCCGCCTGCCCGCTCTCCAGGTGATGCTCATCTTCTCGGACGGTCTCCAGGGCGAGAGCAGCGAGGCCCTGGAGAGCCAGTCGGACAGGCTCAGGCAGGCAGGTACGCGGCCGAGGGGCTGCCTGCCGCCAGCCCCCAGTCCTTCTCCAGCCCCGTGGTCACCGCCGCTTCCTCCCTGTCCTCCCCTGGTGCTCCTCCTCCCCCGTGCTCCTCCGCCTCATCTCCACAGCACCACGAGGCGTGGCGTCCGCCAGCCAGACCGGGGCCAGTGCTCCAGGTGATG